CATTGACAGTGGTGACAGCATGTATGAACTTCTTCTTAAGTCAGAGAAGCCAGACACAAACCATCACATGTTATGATTCCATTCGATATGAGGTCTAAAAGCCATTTGTGCACTTTAACCTGGTGTACGTTTACAGTATTGTGAATTCGATCTCAATAAAGTTGTTCAAAAACCTGTACAGGACAAAAAATAGCCACGTGTAAGTAATCTGTAAATCTAGGATTTTTTTCCTTTTTTTAAAGGTTTTATTTATTTGAGAAAGAGAGAGAGAGAGAGAGAGAGAGAGAGAGAGGTGGAGACACAGGCAGAGGGAGAAGCAGGCTCCATGCAGGGAGCCCGATGTGGGACTGGATCCTGAGACTTCAGGATCACGCCCTGGGCTGAAGGCGGTGCTAAACTGCTGAGCCACCCAGGCTGCCCCTACCCAAGGATTTTTAAACATTAAATCCTAAGATTATACTGTCAGGGGAATAAAGACAATATGAAAGAAACTAACTTACTTAGTATTACAGAAACCTGGATGATAAAAGAGTAAGTTAAGAGAAGGGAAATGGTCTATGTGGAAATAAGGTAAGACAAAACTTGGAGCAGGAGTCACCTTGTGTGTCTAGTATCATCCAAGGCAGGGAGCAGCTTGGTCAGATACTCACCTAGCTCATTCCGTCCACAGGTGTATCCCTTTAGTAGAGGTGAATTAATTATACAATCACATAGTGATAGTTACCATAAATATCATTTTACAAACTCCACTTGCTCTGATTTCAAGCTCACCAGGCCACTTTTCTCATTGTAAACTTCCCACAGACTTATCTGATAGGATTGTCATGATCAGCTGATTCTGGTATATAGTTCATCAGAAATTAGCAAATTAATCCCCTGGTTTAGATTCCTCACTCAAGATACTGGTTAGTACAAACCAGTCCTCATGAAACTTAGGAATTTTGGCTGCTCTTAGCAAACTACTTCTCATCCTACAAAGTTCATGACCAATGACTCTCAACCACTGGGACATTCCCAAAATAGGACCCCTAAAAGATTAATCTACTGTACACTTGGGGCAGAGGTGGGCAGACTCAGGTTCCCTAGCCCTTCCCATTTCCCCTGACAATCACAGCCACTGTCATATCTGGGAGTGCACAGTCCTCCTCAGGTAGGTTGGTATACCCTGGACTAGGAGCCTTCCACTAAGATCCTACCAGTCTCTGAGGCCCAGATTGAGCCCCAACCCTAGACTTCTTCAGTGTACCCCCATCTCAACTCTAACTTCCATACTCTCAGATCCTCACATTCTATTATGTTATCCAGTCTGACCTCATGCACAGAGTTTAAGAATCTTACCTAAAATCACACAGGTAACTGGGGCACCTGAGTGGCCCAATGGTTGAGTGCTACCTTTGGCTCAGGTTGTGATCCTGGGATCCTGGGATCGAGTTCTTGCATCAGGCTCCCCACAGGGACCCTGCTTTTCCCTCTGCCTATGTCTCTGCCTCTCTGTCTCTCATGAATAAATAAATAAAATCTTTTAAAAAATCATACAGCTAAGTATTGGCAGAGTAAAAATCGGAACCAAAGTCTTTAGATTCTCAGCCCAATATGTTATTCATTCTGTTAGTGCTGCCTTTGTTACAGGTCATTTGAAAGCTCAGCTTGCATTTGTGGAAATTCCCTTACATCCTGCTGAGCAACCTTCTTTTGCCCAAGGCAGCACCTTAGGCCCTTACAGTATTCTCATAGGCTATTTAACACCAATATTTATACATCAGGTCTGAAGGTTTCTTTGAATTTTAAAGAATTCCTATAAAATGTTTATCTTTGTATTCATTGACTATCTCTGCAAAGATATGTTAGAAGTCAGTGACAGTCTCTGGGGGCTCCTGGGGGCTCAGTCAGATAAATATCTGACTCTTGGTTTTGCCTCAGGTCATGATCTCAGGGTCACGGGAACAAGCCCCATGCTGGGCTCTTGCACTCTGCATGGAGCCTGCTTGAGATTCTCTCCCTCTTCCTCTGCCCCATCACACACACACACACACACACACACACACACACACACACACGCATGCACAGGAAAAGAATAAAAAGTCAATGACAGTCTTCAGTAAAGAACTAAGCTAAGTAGAGAGGGAGAGACTTCATGAAATATCTTTTCAGTATTATTGGAATCCTTCCCATATGCTTTTATTGTGCATATAAAAACATAATTTTTTAAAAGTTGTGCCATAAAAAAAGGCTGACAAAATCCCAACCTGTATACCATACACATATCACATGAAGCATTCTTACTGAAAAGAATAAAAATTAGAGGGACACCTGGGTGGCTCAGCGGCTAAATGTCTGCCTTTGGCTCAGGGCGTGATCCCAGGTCTGGGGATTCAGTTCCGCATCCAGCTCCCTGTGAGGAGCCTACTTTTCCCTCAGCCTATGTCTCTGCCTCTCTCTGTGTGTCTCTCATGAATAAATAAAATCTTTAAAAAAAAAGAATAAAAATTAGAAAATATCTGGGCCACCTTATTTTATTGTTTTCCAGTGTTAGAAAGGATTTTTTATTTCACACCCTTCCCCTGACAACTTTACAGATAATGTGCACAGAATGCTAGGTGGTTATCTGCTTAGAGGCAGCCCATCCCATGAAGGAGAATGCTGAGACAGCCACCTGTAATTCCTTAGAAATTTGTTGCTATCTTCCTATGAAGCTATGAAAAACTAGATATGTTTAAAATGGCCTTCAGTCTCTTTATAAAGATTTTATTTATTTTATTTATTTAGAGAGAGAGAATGCAGCAGGGAGAAGGAAGGGCAGAGGTAGAAGGAGAGAGATTCTCAAGCAGTGCTGAGCACTAGCTCCAAACCCACTGGATCTCACAACCCTGAGATCATGATAGAGCTGAAATCAAGAGCTGGATGCTCAACCCACTGAGCCACCTAGGGACCCCTCTCTCAGTCTCTTTAAAGAAAGAGGGTTTGAGGTAGGCTACAGCTGCTATATTAACCTCAGCAGTGGTTTCAAGGAAGTCTATCCATAAAAACTGCTACAGCCAGGCTACCTCCAGGAACAGGTCACCCACACCAGGGTCTTTGGAACCCAAGAACCCTAAGGCAGTAAGTGGATTTCACCAACACAGATGTTGAGCTGGTGGGGCCACCAGGCCCTCCCTGAGTGAAAAGTGGGCTCTGTATCCCCAGCTGTGCAGGCATTCCCATGGGGGCCAGAGGACAGGCAAGCTCTGTCGCATGGGTCACCTGGGCACAGGAGAGCCTGGTGCAACTGGGGTACAGAGGGGCGGGCCCAGAGGTCCTTGTCTGTATTGGCCAGCACTCTCGGGCCCTGGCAGGGGAGTAGGGGAGGGCTGGAGAAGCTGTGCTTGTCATGTGCCCTGCTGGGTGGTTCTGGACTGGCCAGTGGCCACTGTGTTGTTACTTAGACCTTGAAGCCAACTGAGCTAGGCAGCTGGATCCACAGCTGGGTTTCCCTGTCCAAGTGCTGGGACTACTCCTCTCTGTGGACTTCAGGAAGCAGCACGTGAAGAGGGCCAGGGGCCTGAACAGGACTATGGAGGCCATCACCACCATCCAGAAGCCAGAGGTCTCCTATGTGGCACAGACTTGCATATAGGGAATCCCTAAAGACAATCAGGCAATGCTCCCCTTCCAGGAGGAGCAGGTGAGGAGGCTGGACCCCACCAGCTGGTGACTGGAGTGGTAGTGAAACATGATGACAGTCCCCTTGTTAGCTCCATCGTCACGAAATACTTAAAGAGGCAAGCGGCAAGAGCGGCCATACATAAGCAGAGCGCCAGAAGAGTTCTGGGGCCCTGGAGCGGGGGGCGGGGGGCATGGCATTCCAACCTGCCAGGACTGTGCTACAGAGTGTGGCCCTGCACGCAGCACAGAGACCTCTCCCACTTTTTAAGGATTCTACATTTAAAGTAGCTTTTTACACTAGAAGTTCCATTATTAATTCCAACATTAACATTAAATAAAATAAAACTTTAGAGATACATTTAATCACCTACAGAGTCTAGACACTTTGGTCATGATTCTATGTAGGGAGACTACAACTACAGAATGTCCTAAGAAGGCATTCATATGAAAATGCTAATATGAAAGAAATAGATGTTGGTTATAGGTTCTAAGCTAACAATGATGATCATAGAAAATAATGATGTACAACTGTTTATTTATTACTTCCTTCATTTAAATGTCTAGTGAAAGATTAGCCTGGCCCTGTGCTAGGAACTTCTTTTTTTTTGAATTTTTATTTATTTATGATAGTCACACAGAGAGAGAGAGAGAGAGGCAGAGACACAGGCAGAGGGAGAAGCAGGCTCCATGCACCGGGAGCCCGACGTGGGATTCGATCCCGGGTCTCCAGGATCGCGCCCTGGGCCAAAGGCAGGCGCTAAACCGCTGCACTACCCAGGGATCCCCGGAACTTCTGATATAATGGTCATCATAAACAGACTAAGCTCCTGTTCTCATGGAGCTTAGCCTAGTGGAGGAAACAAACATAAATCTAATCACTGAAAAAAAGAATTCATATGTAACTGAAAATTGGGACCAGTACTGTAAAGAAAATTGTATTGTAAGCAGCTGAGGTTTTTAAGCAGCCCTGCAAGCATGTTCAGATCTGCATTTTAGAATAAGAAACACATCTTGTACTTAAATGAAATTACAGTGCAGAGAGGTATGTAAGGTAGCAGGACTAAATTACTACAGTGTTAACATTCTTCCAATTCTTAGGAAAAGTGCCAAGGAATTTTCAGTGATTATAAATCCAAGGCCAGTTTTATGGCTGTGATCCCAAAAACACTTTGGTCTTGCCCAGGGCCTTGGTTTAGCAAATACTACCTCCAGACAATACTTAGTAACATCAGAGCCTTTTCCTTTCCTGTCATCTTTCCATGACCCCGCCAATACTTCAGAGTCAAGACTATCTCCATCATGGTCAGTATAGCTGTCCACTTATTTCAAAACAGGAGAGAGACTCCTGATTTACTCACCTGATTATCTAGTTTCAGCTGTCGAAGTTTCATGGTCTCATCTTCAAAGGCACTGTTTAAAAAAAAAATGGGGGAAAAAGCATGTAAAGAAAAAATTCTATTAAAATTATGTCAATTTCATCTCTTCCATGTATCTACTCCTTTGGACTGTTAGGAACCAGTTGATTCTGCCTTAGGGAAAGCATCAGTTTCTAGATGTTACCCACACTGACCGCAGGAGGACTTGCCATCCTTAATGTCACACTTAGTTCACAGAGGACCTCAGGAGATTGAAATACCCAAAGAGTAAAAAAAGAAAAAGAGGGGATCCCTGGGTGGCTCAGTGGTTTAGCGCTGCTTTCATCCCAGGGCCTGATCCTGGAGACCCAGGATAGAGTCCCACGTCGGGCTCCCGGTGCATGGAGCCTGCTTCTCCCTCTGCCTATGTCTCTGCCTCTCTCTCTTTCCCTCCCTCCCTCCCTCCTCCCCCTCTCTGTGTCTCTCTTGAATAAATAAATAAAATCTTAAAAAAAAAAAAAAGATGTACTGTGTTGCCTGGGTGGCTTAGTCAGTTAAGCATTCAACTCCTGATTTTGGCTCAGGTCATGATCTCAGGGTTGTGGAATAGAGCCCCACGTGGGGCTCTGCACTGGGCATGGAGCCTGCTCAAGATTCTCTCTCCCTCTCCCTCTGCTCCTACCTGTACTCTCTCAAATAAATAAATAAATCTTAAAAAAAAATAAAGATGTAGAGCACAGACTCCCATGCATGCAGGAATTTTTAAAAACCATATGTCAAGTAGTTATTATGGGCCAGGCACATGCATATTCTATTTATTCCTCAAAACAATGCTATGGATTAGTTTTCCCACTTTGAAGATGGGGAAAGAGACTCAGAAGGCCATGCATAAGGTTAAACAGCAGAAACAGACCCTAATCCAGGTCTCTTTCCAGAGTCTAAACTCCACCTAAAAATCAAATGTTTTTCTTCTTTTTTGGAGCTAGTTCTAGGAAAGAGAGATGAGACTATAACGGGGCTCAGGGCCGACTGTCCCCAGATATATGGAAGCGGTACACTGATAATTCTGAAGTAAAGCTTACTTGAGAAACAGCCAATGCAAGCACATTCTGACCCTCTTTTGTCCCCCTAAAAGCAGGAAATAAATTTTCCATATGAAAGGTGCCCTCCCTGTACCAAGAAGTAAAAAAACACGCTTATTACCAGAGACAGAGAATTCAAGACCTATATACTAAGTCGATGTATACAAACTGTTTAATTTTTTCACTAATTAGTACCCAAGACTAACTTTGTCTTGTCAGTTCTTCACAAATTTATTGTTTCTTCTTCTAAAAGGTATATAAACTACCTGCTTTGGTCATTTCTTAGGTCCCATATCTAGGAGACCTCTATATGTACAAAATTAATTTTTTTAAAGAGACACATTAAAAAAGATTTATTTATTTATTCATGAGAGACAGACTGAGAGAGAGGCAGAGACACAGGCAGAGGGAGAAGCAGGCTCCTCGCAGGAAGCCTGATGTGGAACTCGATCCCAGGACTCCGGGATCACAACCTGAGCCAAAGGCAGGCACATAACCACTGAACTACCCAGGAGTCCCCAAAATTAATTTTTCTCCTGTTAATCTGTCTTGTGTCGATTTAATTATTAGACCAGCCAAAAGAACGTGGGAGGGTAAAATGGGCAGGGTAAAAATCTTCCCCACAACAACTGTGTATAGCATCTTACTATAGCCCACTGATTTCCTTAAGATCTAGGCAAGTCATTTAACTTTCAAGTTTATCATTAATAAAACATGATGCCAGTCATGCAAGGAGACTATAAGTATGGGTGAACAGATAAGACTTAACACCACTAGGAGACAGATTTGTTAGAGAGAAGAAAACAACAATGACAAAAATGGAATCTAATTACTGTCTCCAAATCCTTTTGAACTTTTCAAAAACTCTCTCTGAAGCCTTTTCTATTTTTGAAATTTTTCTAATTTAAGATTTTGTTTTGCAACTCAGCATTCTTGGAAAGAGTAGAGTATGAAACAAGGCAGAAATGGTTCTTATTATTATTTATAATAATAGTAATTATTATTTGTATTATAAATTTTTACTGGAGCTTATTGTCAGGAAACTACAAATACAAGGTCTTATTTAAGAAGACAAATTCTATGGCTACAAAAGGAAGCATGGCTTTTCCTGTATTGATGTAAATACTAAAGCATCTTATCCATGGCTTAATGGTTCACCACTACCTTCACATATTTTAGAAGGTGTTATGCATTTTATTTTTTAATTTAAAAAAAATTTTAAAGATTTTGAGAGAGAGAGAAAATGAGCAATGGGGGAGGGACAGAGGAAGAGAAAGAGAGAACCAGACACCCTGCTGAACATGAAGCCCAACATGGGGCTGGATCCCAGGACCCACAGATTGTGCCCCTGAGCAGAAGGCAGGCAGACCTGTAACTGACTGAGCCACCCAGGCATCCAGGTGTTACACATTTTAACAATGCATAGCAACTTGGAATTTGCATACTATCTCCAAGATTCCTCTTGCCTACTAATCTGTAAGCAGATTTAATAACCCCTTAGATATAGATAAGATGACATTCTGGTTCTCTGACAGTTCCCCTCTATTAACTTCCTTATCAACTATATGCTTTTAAAAAAACCTAAGTATTCAAGATAAATCATCTCTTTTTTCCCAATTCAAAAGAGGGACAAATGGGGTCCCTGGGTGGCTCAGTTGGTTAAACATCTGACTCATCTCAGCTCAAGGTCCTGAGCTTGAGCCCTGCATTGGGCTCTGCTCTGGGCGTGGAGCCTACTTAAAGAAGAGAAAAAGGGAAAGAAAAACAGATAAACAAAAATGTTAGATATGATATAATCAGGCCTTGACTTCATGCGCTCCTAACATATTTCCTAGATACATGCCTTTTTTCCTTAGTGTTTTTTTTTTAATTTTTATTTATTTATGACAGTCACACAGATAGAGAGAGAGAGGCAGAGACACAGGCAGAGGGAGAAGCAGGCTCCATGCACCGGGAGCCCGACGTGGGATTCGATCCTGGGTCTCCAGGATCGCGCCCTGGGCCAAAGGCAGGCGCCAAACCGCTGCACCACCCAGGGATCCCCTTTCCTTAGTGTTTTAACCCTCATTCACATATTTTTAAATCTTAGCTTTATGAATACAGTGCTAGAATAGCACTCTTGATTTCAGCTCAGGTCATGATCTCAAGGGTTTGTGAGATCCTGTGAGCCTGCATCAGGCTCTGCATTCAGTTGGGAGTATGCTTGAAGATGCTCTCTCCTTCTCTCCCCTGGGCCCCTCCCCCACTCTGTCTCTCTAAAGTAAATAAATAAATCTTTTTTAAAAACCTACTAAGACAAAAAATTATTATTTTAAATATATATAGGAAAAAACTGTGAATATACAGGAACAGGTAACATGGTATAAAAATGCACTTACAAACTAGTACTAACAGCTACTGCTATGAGTCCTGCTTTTTCTCTACCTCATTTTGCTCTCAACACTAAACCAGAATTGCAAAATCCCGACATGTTAAAGAAATCATCCTATCCCACCCCCCCAGCCCACCCTTACACACACACACACACAATGCTAAAACCTCCTCAATCAAGGTAAATTTTGACATAGATATGAAGTCCTCAAACATTTCTCTTAAGGCCTCTAATAGTGAGGAAACCAGGTGTATATTCAATAACCATCTTGACACCCCTAATTCCTTTCATCAAGCCTGGGCAAGCTGAACAGACAATTCAAATAAACAGGTTTTGTTTCAGCCTGAACAAAAGAGGCACTAAAAAGATGCTATAATTGTAACATTTAGATACCTCTTATACATCAAAAGCTACACTTTCTTTGAGCTCTAGTTCTAAATTATAATTTAGCAGAAATAACATTTTATACACTTACATTAATCTGAACTGAATTTCTAGTCTAACCTCAAATATGATCTTACTAAACTTGCATTTTTTTCTTTTAATATTCTTCCCTTCCTTTCAAATCAAGTTGTTTACTAGCAAGTCTAACCAAGCCTGGTTAGTAAATCAACACAAAACAGAAAGACTTCCTACAGAGTAAAAGAGATGGAATTACTGTATCCCATTTTTCTCATGGAAAATTTCCTATTACTTGATACAAATAGGGAAAATTCTAAACATACATCTTAGTAAAACACAGATCCAGCATTTGAGAATGGGATATAATTATGCCCATAGAACATCATTCTCTTGAACTACTTCCCATTATATATATATGTGCATTATATATATATATTTTTTAAATATGTTTTCAAGCCAACTATTTCCTTTTTTTAAAATTTTTATTTATTTATGATAGTTACACAGAGAGAGAGAGAGAGAGAGGCAGAGACACAGGCAGAGGGAGAAGCAGGCTCCATGCACCGGGAGCCCGATGTGGGACTTGATCCTGGGTCTCCAGGATCGCACCCTGGGCCAAAAGCAGGCACCAAACCGCTGCGCCACCCAGGGATCCCCGTGCATTATATATATTATATATATTATACATATTATATATATTATATATAATGCAATGCTGACCACAATAAGTGTAGTCATCATATCTATCACCACAGTACATTATTACAACATTATTGACTATATTCTCTATGCTATACTTTTATCCTCATGACTTATTTTATAACTGGAAGTTTGTATCTGTTAGTGCTCTTCACCTATTCACTCTATTATTTCTTTAATTGAAAGGATTTTTTAAAAGATTTATTTATTCATGAGAGACACACAGAGAGCGAGGCAGAGACACAGGCAGAGTTCGGAGAAGCAGGCTACCTGCGGGGAGCCTGATGTGGGACTCGATCCCAGGACTCTGGGATCACGCCCTGAATCAAAGGCAGATGCTCAACCCTTGAGCCACCCTTGAGCCCCTGAAAGGATTTTTGAGGTAACATATGTGTTGCAAGAAGATTGCTGGTGCTAAATCCTTTATGTATGTTTTTTTTCTTTCTAGTGTTTTCCTTCATTGACTATAAAAAATAATGCATACTCATTTTGTAAATTTTG